CTCCGCGCCCTGGGAAGAGCATGTCTTCATCTGTGCTGCCTGTTGGGAGCTGCTCTGCATCCTCAACCTCCCCATAAGCACTGATGAGGTGGTGATAATTACCACAGCCCATGCCAGGATCAGACTCACAAAGCTGGAAGACCGTGTGCCATTGCTCACAGCCTGATTTACCCTTAAAGAATCACTGAGGGACAGACAGCGTGTCCATTCCCAGCAAGCACCCTCTTGTCAATAGGGCTTGCTACAAGAGGAGCACATGGCTCTCCTCACTGCCCCTCTCCTGCCTGTTCTGGACTTGCTCTGGAGGGGACATAACCTGCAGCCCCCTTGGCCTGGGTGTCCGTCACATCAAGCTCCGACGCCTACCAATGTGTTTTTAGCACTGCTCTCGGACACACTGGCACATGTGGCTGCCGGGGGCCTAGAACCCATAGTAAAGCTGAAGCAGGTGGGCAACCAGCAAGCTGGAGCTTCCAGTCGGAGGGGAAAAACTTACAGGGAAACAAAAAGTCTTCCCGGAAGGTTTAATTTAATGAAACCAAGTAATGTATGCCTGGTGTTGAAGCTTTTTCATTTGTTTGCAAGAGTGGTTTTAGTTTGAGGTGGGTTTTGTTTATTTTTTAGTTCAGAACTCTCCTAAATTTTTGAGACAGCTGTTAGGAATTCTGTTCCTCTGAACAGATACTTATTTCACATTTCAACTTGCCTAAGTAAAGCCCAGAGTTAACTTTCCTTAGGAAAGGAATAAAGCAGTTGAGAGTGATTTTTATTGTGTGTCCAAAATCTTCAAGCAGTATATCCTCTTCTTAAATTCTGATGTCTGAAAGTAAATTCTTAGCAGGATTATTTATTTTCTGGTGGATGTTACCTATCTTCTGTTGTAACACTATTATGTCGAGAGTGCTCTAATAGTGCTACACATCACCACAATAGCCACTTGCCTGCTAACCACAGTGCCAGTACCTCTGCACGTGTGAGGATATCAGTGAAGTCTTCACCAACTCAGGTGTCTCCAGGGGCTTTATCCTGTACACCACTGAAAGTTTAAAGGTCCTCAGTCTCACATATGGTGCCCTAAGCCAAATAGCTCATAGTCCAGAATAAGAGTTTGAATCATTTGGCCACCAACCCCATACTGCAGGCACAGAGGAACTGCCCAGCCACGGGCATGGTGTGGACTGGGAAATGCCTGCTGCAGGCTGCTGGGTGGGAGCGCTGGCAGCACAGCAGTGGACTGCTGCAAACACTACCTGGACACGTGCTCCAGGGAATCTGCATGTTTTCAGCTTGGTCTGCTCTGGAAAGAAACCCAAAACATCCCTAAATCCCTTTATGACGTGCTTAGTCCTCCACTGGCGAAGAGGAGGGGAGGGGGACAGCACAAAGTACAGACAAGGAATGTTTGATGCTTGGCCGGGGCATGTTGAGAAGCAGCAATGATTAAGGCAATATGTGAACTTTTTGAAGTGTGAGGATGAAGAAGACAAAAATATTGGACTATTAATGAATTCCAAAAAGAAAAGGGAGATCTTGCCAGATCCTAACCCCTTCCTTCTCTTATTAAACTTCCTGTCATGCCTCATCACTGGAGAGGCCGTGTAGCTGCTGTCTGTCTGTACAATATGTGCAGTGCAGTACACTCCGCATTTTAATTGATCAGCCCTCCACATTATCTGTTTTTATACTTTCCTGTTCTCATTCTGCCACGTTGTCTTTTCTCCTCTGTCATGTCAGACAGCTAGGTTTCTTTTGTAGACCAGGAGTGTGATAAATTAATCCTCCATTTGTTAACTGAGATAAATCACCGCGGGCAGCTCCCCAGCCTGGTGCTCGTGAGGTTGGTGTGCTTGACATGCACCAGTGTGTGGGGTGGCACCGGGGCCCTGCTCTCGTTAGAGGTGAGCTCCCTCTGGGTGCGTTGAATGCCAGCCATGTGTTTCCCCTGCAGCCAGCACAATGGAAAACTCCACTGTCTCTGAAAACCGCCTGACCATGTAAATTCACAGACTTCTCTTTACCTGATTATGCCCCAGTTCTGAGAATGGGGGAGGAAGGAGCTGCAATGTTTAGACCTTGTGGTAAACACTTGACAGTATGTACTTTCTAGGTTCTGTCTTTGTTTAGTGGCATAACTGGCAGATGGAGAAACAAGAGCCATCATCTTTTTTTTCTCTCCTCACTACCACGAAGGAGATCTGACTACTGGTACACCTAATTTGCCAAACAGAAGTACTCAGATACGCTCTTGTCAGTGATGGAAATACAGTTCTTAGTCTGTTATTCAAAGACCAAAAAAAACCCTTAAATTAACTTACTCAAGTGAGTGAATTAGTGCATATTAGCTATGGTAATTGGCTGGAGGCGAAATTCAGACAAGCATGCAAATGCCCAGCATTTGCCCCAGTTTAGCAGTGCGTATATTGCCACCAGCAAGGAATTGTCTAGCACAATGTAACTGGTGTTTTAATGTGTTCTTGTCATGGCAATCAAAACTTTCAGGAAAACAACTGCTCATGCTAATGCTTATTCATGTTTCTGTATTGACCAAACGTCCCTGAACTCATCTGCTTACAGAGATTTTAGCTTGTTTAGTCTCCAGCAGCTGCTTTTGTTCAGCTGGTCTTTTTGCTTGCTTTTGTTTTGCCTGTGCTGTGGGTATATATCTTCTTTAGTTTCATGGATTTTAAGGCCAAAATGAATGATGAGGGATCAGATTTAGTCCAACTTTAGACCCATGGAGTTTCACCCAGATAGACCTATATTAAGGCTAGAGATACTAAGTTAGGAGAACCAACGTGTTCTTGGCACTTGAGCATTGTGCAATGCATAAACTGCCAGTTCCATGAAATCTTCTTAGGAGATGGCAAATGAGCTGCAGAAGAAGGCAAGGCAGTCCTGCTTAACTAACTTAGGGGAAAATTCTTTCTTCACCACCCCATGGCCCTTTGCAGTGTCCCATCTCCTGATCTGCCAACCTCTTCTGCTCTGAGGGAAGGCAAATCTGCAAAAACATGTGGCCCAGCAGCGGCTTGCACTTAGAAAGCTGCATCTTATTTGAAGGCTGAATTTGTCCAATTACAGCTTCCCACCACTTAACCTTGTTATGCCTTTGCAGCAAGTTTGAAAAGGCTCCCACCACTGTAAGAACCACTGTGGTTCTTGCAGACAGGCATCTGTTGTGAAGTAACTGTAGTTTTATAAATACGTATTAATTGTGCAGCCTTGTATCTTTTTTTTGTGGGTTTTTTTATTGTGGCTAGATGATAAAGTAGATGACCTAGCAATCTCTTCTGACCTTAAAAATCTAGGAATCTGTTTGTGGCCCTCTACAGAGACAGACAGTAGTTGTCAAAATACCTTTTTCTGTTTCATCCAACAAGGAACTGTTGTAGAACTTAGAAGTGGAATCAGTGATGTATCTGAATGCTAATATCCCTTTATAATTAAGCAAAAATGAATAATTAGTGCAGCCTGATTTGCTGAAAGTCTTTGTGGTTTTGAATGCTCTCATTATCTCAAAATAATACCTAGCTCTGTAATGCCATCCTCAAATAATTATCTTCTGTGAGTCCTGGATAGTAAAACTGACAATGAACTAATCAGGCTTACAACTGCTAAGATACTCTAATAGACAAAATATTTGACTTAAAATACAAAATGAAATGAAATGCAAGGTCTCCAGGTCCAGAGGGACTAACGAGGTGCTCTGAAGCCTATTGCACAGAGCCTGAGCTGCTGAAGTGGTGTCCAAGTGTGCAGGTTCGGTGTCATTTTAAGAGAGATTAAGCAGGAGTGTTTAGTAATTTGCGTGCCTCAGCTTTTTGCAGAATAGGTGATGATTCCGGTCAGCTGGAGTCGCTGAAGCTTCTACCAGTGACTGTTACAGCCTATTTAAACATCATTACCTCTCTTGTTTTCCAGATTATTCAGGACAGAATATTTAAGCACATATCACGTAACAGCTTAATATGGAACAAACATCCTGGAGGGTTATTTGTACTGCCACAGTATTCCTCATATCTGGGAGATTTTCCTTACTACTATGCTAATCTCGGTGAGTGAATCCTTGCTGTAATCTACTGGTACTGGGAATTTCAGGTGGACATTTGGAATTTGATCTTTGAATAGCATGTGGCACTTGACTTACCATTCATTTCCAGTTAATGATGCCTTTTGTTTATCCTGTCTCAGTCTTCCCTGACCAGTGTAGGCTGGAATGTCTCTGACTTATCAACATGCATCATGTGCCCCTTGCTTGCAAAGATTGCTTTAAAAAAATCTATGTCCCTTCATACTTTTCAGTTGGCAGTAATTAATGCCTGAGTTGCTGACCCATTCATGGCCCGAGGGGACATACTAGGAATAGCTTTTTGCTTTCTTTGTTTATTTGTGCTTGGCAAATTGGAAAAGTGGTAATTTACCCATGACACTTGTTATTGGAGTGCATAGTTGGTATGGATTTATTCTCTGTATAATTTATTCTCTCTATATGTGTCTTCATATGGATCCCACTAGAAGGAATGACTAGGGCTCAGGTTTATGGCCGTTTCCTGAAGCAGAGCTTAAACAATGAGTTCTGCAGGAGAATGTGCCTGCAGGCTGAAGTGATCCTGCTTCCAGACTGCTGCTGCTTTTGGCTCAGCCTGTGCCATCCCACTTGTGTGGATCTGTACTGCTCACCTGCTAAAAATTCACAGTTAAAAAGGGAGAAGAAGGTTTCTGTGGGAATTTTGATGAAAAACGACTTTGACCCCACACAGATGAATTTAGATGAGATTGAGAGCAGTAATGAAGGGTAGACGCCAGCAGGATCTGTTATTTCAGGCAGAAAAGGAAATCATAGTGAGACAAAAATACCAGAATGGAAGGCAAGGCTGCAAGCACAATTATCGGCTCAGGAGGTAACTGAAGGTGCATGTGGATGGGGATCGACCCAGAAAGAGCAAAAATGTGACAGAGGCTGTAACGGAACTGAGGAAACTGAACAAGCTTCTGGAAGTTGTGGAGATAATCAGTAGGAAACATCGAGTATCCAGAGCCAGGCAGCAAAACAGGGCCCATGTCAAGAAAGTCATTTGGTTGAAGAAGCTAGATGTCAATATTATCCATGGGACAAACTGGATGAAAGAAAGAGATTGCAGGACATCTGCAGAAATAGTGAGTAAGAAAAGGCAGTAATTTTGTTGAAGTCAGGGATTTCAGAGGATGTGGGAGTTAAAGGGAAGTGTGATCTTCTCTGAAGCATCTGGTGTTCCTAGTATCTGAGACAAAAGGATATGGCCTAAAAAAACATGGCAAGGTTTGCATTAAGTGCAGATTATTTTTCCATCTCCAGAGTCCTTTAATTTGTACTAATGGGGGCAGTTTTGTCTTTACTGTACACATATCTCTTCACTCCAGGTCTGAAGCCTCTTTCCACATTCACTGCCGTTATCCACGCAGTTACTCCCCTGGTTTCCCAATCTCAGCCTGTGCTGAAACTCCTGGTTGCTGTAGCCAAGTCCCAGTACTGTGCACAGGTAAGCAGTGCTGTTTGACTGTCAGTCACACTGGAGACAAAACTACTATCCCAGGAGTGAAGAGCCTACTGACTTCAGATCTTCTCAGTCCTGTATCGATCCCCTATTCTAATTTTGATGTTTCTATTCTCTGATATTTCTACTGTCTGTGACCCACATGCACGGGAAGCAAATATTCTGAGTATGGTAAGAATGGAATATAGACAGTCATTAAACCCTTCTGTTTCATGAGGCAGGTAAAATAGTGTCTGCACTTTAAAGATCAGGATTGCGTGTGCCGCAAACTGCAGAAGGATGTCTGTGCCTCAAGAGCCCCTGTGTGATCTTCCTTCCTCCCGCTGTGGCCGGGATTTTGGCTTCTCTAGAAGAAACCTTGGGGAATTCAGTGGGAGCACCCTCTTGCAGTGGAGTGTCACAAGTGGTTTAGCCTTTAATGAGAGCCAAAGTAAATCAGTTACATCCTTATGACCTGGCTGAGATAGAGACTTTCTGAGTTGCTGTCCAGCCTGTATTTGCCTGAGAGGACATATATTGTAAATAGTTGGGATGGGTGAAATTACTGTAGGAAGTTTTATTTTTATACAGATTTGTATCTTTGTTGTTGTTTTTGAAATTCCTGACTTGAATTTAACATTTCTGTCTGGAGATCTGAGACCTTAGGGTTTGGACTGCATTGCCACAAAGGTCTCTGATCATGGTCCAACATTGTCTTTCAGATTATTGTTTTATGGAATTGTGATAAACCCCTCCCAGCCAAACACCGCTGGCCTGCCACTTCTGTGCCTGTCATAGTCATTGAAGGAGAGAGCAAGGTAGGTGGAGAGAAGCATGGTAAAAGATTGCCTGTATTCTCCAGTGGGACCAGAATTTAGTTTTCAGCAGCTTTGGTGAAAGCTTTGTAGTTCCCACAGTTGTGACAGTTCCTTTCTGTTCCTTGGCCTTTTGTACCAGCTTGGGCACAGATCCGTGTTTCATGCATGAGGCCCGTGCTCTCAGAAATCATCAGCATGGCAGTTAATGCCATGAATCCCAGATTCACAGGTGGGACCCAGTTTTGAAATGTGGCCCCAAGAGTAGGTAGTGCTGACCCCGTTTTTGGAGATTTCTGTCTCTGCTGGTGCATCAAAGTAGTGATGCAGCTGGATTCATTGAGTCTGAGCGGTCACATGCTAGGCTTGGGGGTCAGCTGTGGATTCAAAAGCAGAGAAGAGATGAGAATGAATGGTATTAAATTGCCTTTGAAAAGTACATTCTCTTATGGCATGTAGGGTACTGCTGCCAGTGGTGGGATCCTATCACCATAAAAAAGGGACACTTGAGTGGGAACAAAACCACCATGTCATCTCTTGCTGTGCCACGCACTTGTTTGTTTTTACTTCCACAAAGATGAAATAGACACCACCTAGATGAGAGAATAGGGGTTGTTTAAAATCCACGCTGAAGCGGATGATTCCTTTCCAAATGCAGGACTGAGAAGCAGGACTTACTGCTTCTGGGCTCTGACTGAGATAGATAGATTTTGGCTGGTCCCCTCTGCAGTCTCTGTCAGATGGCTCTTACATTTACAAAGAGAACTTGCAGTTGCTTTGGCAGTATAATCCTATTTTGAATTTATAGTCCTGTCTTTGGTCTTTTCCCCCAGCCACCTTAACAAGGAGAAGGTGAAAGCCCTGCGAGGTTGGCAGCTAATGGCTCTTGCCTTAGCTGGCCATGTAGAGTGTCAGGGGAGTTGCTGCAGGGCCAAGAAAGGCTGCAGTGATTTCTGAGCCTTTTGAAATTTGTGGTTTTTTTCTTTCTTTTTGGAAAACTTGCAGAGGTGAGATAGAGGAGAAAATCTCTGACCAGTTCTACAGTGTTTGTAGAAATTGGCCCCAAGCACTGTTTAGATTACAAATGAGTCTCCTGAGTACACAAAGGTGTGTTTATAGTGGACAGTCTCTTCCCTCTAATATCCCAGCATATGCCAAATGGCTTCTTGAAAAACAGAAAAGCTGTTTGTTTAGACAAAGCTTGCAGAGCCAGAGCAGTGCAATTCAAAGGTTGCACAAAGGAACTGATTTTCATCTTCAGACTTAACTGCAGCGTACTGGCAGGCACAGTTACTCCGTGCAGATGTGCACAGAGGTCTGCCTTTACCTAACCTTCACTGTTCCCCATGAAATCAAGAAGTATTATCACACCCATTTTACAAAAGGGAGCTTTAGCTACAAAAGCAAATACAAGGGTAGTCCCAACTCTTGTACTATTTGACAGTTTTACACTGCCTGTAAAAGAGCTGGGCTGAGAACCCAGGTCTCCTGCTGACTGCTTCCTGTGCTTTGCCTTAGTGTAAGCAAAGCAAAACCATCAACCCCAGCCAGACCACCCTTTCCTCACAGTCACTGCCCCCCTGGACCAAGGCCATTGTAGCAATGAAGGTGGATACTCTCCAGACACACACCATGAACATCCTGATTATGGAGGCAGAGCTTTTTCTGAATGGAGGCATAGATTACAAAGACTTGCTTCCAAACCCATTGCAGGGGGTGCAGAACTGATCATGCCTGTTACGAGAGACATGTAAAACTTCTTCATGTCCCCATTTCCATACAGTGATTCCCTCTTACCAGGCCTGATTTTTGTAGTGTTTTCTTGGATAATAAATTGGAAAAGAAGTCTATTAACTAGCCAGGCTATTTTTCCTAGCAAATGAGGGAAACAAATCATCTTGTGTCCTTGTTACTATTCATCAATTCTCAAAAGGTGCTAATTAGTCTGCTAAAGAAACCATATGGATTCTCATTTCTCGCTGTTACCTTTTTGATCCCTACTTGCCAATCTATTTCCTATTACTTTGAGAACTGTCCTGACATAGTTTTAAAAAACTTGTTCTGGTTATAAATGATATATATATATAGCTATGTCATTTACTATGTCATTTAAGAATGTGACTTTTTAAAATGCTACAGTACCAATATAGTTCTTGATGCAGGTGAAGCTCAGCTGGTACACATGTTCTTCAGCATATTCGCATTTTCTGATGGAGAATGTTGTACGATTTGGCAGCAGCTCCCTGTGGATACAACAGTACAGAGATGGAGCTGTACCGCTTTGCAGGGGAACCATCCTGGTAGCATAGTGTCCTTCACACACAGCCTGGACTGCTTGGCTTCCCAGCTGCATCACCTTATCAACGTTCATTATCCTTGATCCTCACACCCCATAGGAGAGCAGAGGGACAGTCCTAGCTACCAGGGAAAAAATCCTCCCTAGTGAAACTGTAGGTACATCTGATCCTTAGTACAGACTATTGCAGATTGTCACAAGAGGAAAGGAGCCTGCTCCAGAGACGGGGGTCTGATCAGAAATTACTCCTCAGGTAGAAGGTATAGGCTGACTGATGGGGTGATGAAAATGACAGTATTTCACTCTTGACCTGAAGTGTCCTTTCCATCAGACAGAGATACGTGATGTATATCAGACCAGAGGAGATAAGAGTGGGGAATAAAATGGAGAATTTCTTTTGGAAATGAGTCCTTCAAGTGGGTTTTTTTCCTCCCCTTCTTGCCTTGGATACTCACAGGTTATGAGCAGTCGCTTCCTACCCTACGACAACATAGTGACAGATGCAGTGCTAAGCCTGGATGAGGACACCGTGCTTTCAACCACTGAGGTAAGGGTCCCTGTCATCCTGGGGGAGTCTCCTTGGCTCCTCAGCTCAGCCTGAGCACAGCAGATAGGTTCTTCTCTTGGCTTTGTCAGTGAGCAACTGTTGTAAGATTTCCTGCTACGCTCCTCAGATTTAACATGTTGCACTTGTTTCAGCAACCCTGCCACTGCCATCAGAGGAGCTTTTTGCCCTGGTTAATTGGCTCATCATTAGCATATGGCTCTTCCGTTCCTTATTATTTTAGTAACATAGCTGCAGGCGGGTGTAGGCAGCCAAGAGCAGTCAGCTTTAATACTCTGTTCTCACTTTCCTGATTGGGGTAGCTTTTTTCCCCCCATGTTATCAGTAGGGTGTAGGTGGGAAGGGATGTCAGCAGCAAGGGAATGCTGTCACTTCAAAAGAGCGTTGCCACCCTAGTGCAGGATTTGATGAGGAATGCTCACTCACCATTGTCACCCCACAAAATTGGAGATCTTTGCTAGTTTAGATGTTGGAGTATTTGTGCCAAGAGCAAGATAGTGCTAAGAAAAGAAACATACTGTAGAAAACCAATTTTTACAACTGGGATGAGTATTGATTTCTGGAACCTCTTCCTGAGAAACACAGGGGAAACTGACGACAGTTTATATAAAGTGCAATATTTGGGAAATACATTATTAATGGCCAGGGAATAGCTTGGAAAACTTGATTTTCTTGGTTTTCCCTTTTTTTCCCCGTGTTCATGGCCATTCCCTTCTCCCCAGTTCACCTTTATAAAAGTGCTTTATTTTAGTGATAGGGACCTTTCACTAATGCTACCACTATTTATATGTCAGTGAAGGCATGCCTGACATTGGTCACCAGTCACTGCTATATACCCTAAGATGTCACTGAACTTGTTCTAAATGGATGAAATTGCACCCACTCTTCTCCCCCGTACAGGTTTGTGGTGCTGTGGTTAGACTGTTTCGGAAGAAGCCAGGGTTAGCCCTCTTTTGCTGCACAGATTGAAGTGCTTGGCATTAAACCTATTTGATACCAAGATTACACCTTAGTAGTTTCTGCTAGATGAGGAGCAATACAGCTGCTGCCAAAGCACTTGTGTGCAAAGCCCTGCACAGCCAAAAAACCCCAAAACAAAAAAAAAGGCATTTATCCTAGCGCTGGATTCCCAAGCAGGTTGTTGATCAGGCTGGAGGGTCCTGTCTGAGCTGCCCTGGGGGCCATGGTAAGACCTCTCAGGCACTTCATTGCACTGAGGTGGTATTTACAGCAATCCAGCCTGTGGATTTCATGAGGATTTGGGGCTTTGCTTTGTTTTCACTGGTATTTAGTCATCATCCAAACTTTGGAGTCATTCAGGCTTCTGGAATGCATATGAAGTAAATAGTGTTTCTCATTTGGCTTGGCCATGCTTTACCCTAAACATTCTGAAACGCAAATATTTGTTGTTGTGTGAGACAACATAGACATTTCTTTGTGGCTTCCTCCCTCCTGTGAGCAGCTTGTAGCCGATACTGCATGTTTGCACGGTGGGTATTGGCTCTGTGAGCCCCACTGGCCTCTGTGCTGTAGAGAACCAGCGGGCCAGCTTTTGCTAGCACCCACCTTGCATCTTCAGCATGCCTCTGCATGGGTGGCAGGGTCAGCAGGTCTCTTTGGTGGCTCTCTGAGAGGAACTGGGGCCTTTCTGTTGCTTCACTTCCCTTGTCGTGCAGCTCAGGCAAAGAAACAGTATATTGAAACACTGACTTGGTGTGAAACTTCCCTTGAAATTAACTGCTCATGGGTGGTCATTGTGGCAGTTTCAGAGCCCAGAAAAGGCAATTCAGAAACATGGTCAAACACGATCACTTCCCTGTTGAGAGGAGCTGTCACCAGTCGCATCCTCCGCACTGTCTGGCTGTAGTGAAATAGAGGTTTTCCATTCACAACAGAATGGCACATGATGGCTTTTGGGAGAGAAGCTGTTTCACGTGAGCAGAGGGATGTTTGCCTGGGAAGTAATTAGAAATCAGCACGGGTCAGAAGTGGTAGAGAGACTATCAGTTTTTTCCTGCTGATCAGCTGAGTGATAATGCTGCTGGAAATGATAGAGGATGACAACTGGGGGTTTCTTTAATAAAGGGAAATTTCTCTTAGGGTGGTTGCTTTAGAGCATCTCCCTGGACCAATACTTGAAAGCACAAGTGAGGGCACTGAATGTGGCTGCTTTGTTATTTATTTAAGTTTGAGATTCTCAGACTTCTGTAAAGAAAACAGATGTCACGTTTTATGGGAAAGGGCTTTACAGGGGGAAAAAAAACGCCAACCACTTCAGTTCTTTCATGTGGTATTGATTTGGATGAGATCAGAACTATCACAACGGTAACTGGTTTGTGCACATTGTCTTTCTAGTTGGCGTCAGATTCCTTGAAACAGCTTGAAAGAAAATAACCAGTCCCTAACTTTGTGTTCCAGTACATGTGTGACTCTTCTGTTTCATAAAAACACTTGTAAATGCGAGAAGTCTGACAGTAATCACACAAAATGTGACTGTTCTCAGAGCAGCTATTCTTTATCTAACCTCTACACACTTGACTTTGGCTGGGTTCTTGGAAGGTTTTTCAAGCATTTTTGTGCAGTTTTAGGTCCCTCTGGTACTGGCGGGAAATCAGTGTGCAGTGCAGATACAAAACTCATTTTCCTGGGTTGGACTGGGGCAACTAGAATTGTCTTTAGCTCTTTTTAAAATCCCGGTCTAGCTTGAGCTCCAAAATCTAAGCTGGAGTGGAGAGACTTCAAGGTTCCAGCTTCACAGTGATCAAAATATTCCCATGTTATTTTTACCAATCTCCTTTCAAATCTAGTGCTGACAGGCCTTCAGCAAATGACCCAAATCATCCCTTTCCTGGTGTCGCCAGGATTTGTTGGGTGGGATCCTGGGATAGCAATGTCCTGTCACCTTTTCAATTCTCAAATAAGCTGAGTTATTAAAGTAGTTGCAGCAAGACAATAAAATAAACAGAAAAAGCCCCATTGTTGTCAGCATCTGACACCTTCTTGTGGCCCATACAGCATCAAGCATTTTTCTTAAAGTATAGGCTTCTAAAGCCATTTAACTACATGGGAATCCTGCCTTCCTCTTTATTAGGCTGTATGTTTAACCATCTTGGTCATATAGACAGCCTTAAAAGTATGACCTGCATGGTCCTTGAAGGCTCAAAATGGATGGAAAATATAAAAGGACTCCTCATTGATAGCCTGTTCTAATCTTGCTGAGCCACCCTTATAATTTAAGGCGCCTGACTCCTGATTTTCCAAGCTTTGTGTTAACAGTACCAAAAGATGTGCAAAAGTTTCAGTTTTCCACATAGCTATTACCACTCTGTGTTGCGTCTTAAGTATAAATACATGCACCTACACCCATTCTTTCTGTAACTAGAAAAGGTTTGATATGTAAAGGGCAAGTTTGAAAATGTTAATGTAATGCTGCGATGCTCTAGTCTCTCTTTAACAGGAACCATTAAAATGTGCATAATTACAGGGCAAAATGTCAAGCAGTCAGTTTAATTTACTGATGAATACATAGAATTAATGTTTTGCAACAGTTCCAAGATTTTGAGTTACGAATTAGTGGCAAGGTAATATTTTGTTTTGTTGACATTTGTTGAAGCACTTTCAGTATTCATTTGGCCTGTGCCTTTGTCCGCAGGTGGATTTTGCCTTTACAGTTTGGCAGAGTTTTCCAGAGAGGATTGTAGGGTACCCTGCTCGCAGTCACTTCTGGGACAACACTAAGGAGAGGTGGGGGTATACCTCCAAATGGACTAATGACTATTCCATGGTATTGACAGGAGCTGCTATTTACCACAAGTAAGAACCCAGAGCATCTGCTATCCTCCTTCTGTATGAAACAAAATAGTAAGGGGGGCGGGAAGGGGGGCTGAAGAACATTCTTCCGGGGAGGGGGAAAAAATGAAAAGATAATAAATGGGTCTACTTTTTATGGGGTAATAATTTAAGTTCTTGGTTTAGCTCTGGGGATCTGGTAATCATTATTGCGCTTGTTTGGTCTCTTTGAAGTCACTTGTATTTTGAAGCAGTCGGACTGCTCTTTTTAACATCAGGAATTACACACTTCAAAGAGTTCCCGAATTCATTAAGCTGCTCTGCTGAATGGCCTGTAGCATAGCAGAAAGGAGGTTACTTCCAGACCAGCTCTGGGTATGTGTCGGCTGACAGCTGCAGACCGCAAAGTCTTCTGGCTACTCTAGAAATGTAGTACAGTGGACACATCACAGATCAGCAGATTGGAAAAACACCCTGTTGTTAGGACTTCAGCAGACCAAGACCTCTCTAGATGTTAGGAGAAAGTCAGCAAATTCTGGATTATCTAGTCCACATCCCTGCAAAGGTGAAGACGAGCCATAGGGGATGATACAGGCCGAGAGAAGAATAATTTGGACAGTAAGAATCATAGAATGTTTTTTGTTGGAAGGGACCTCAAAGATCATCTAGTTCCAACCCCCTGCCATAGGCAGGAACACCTTCCAGTAGACCAAGTTGCTCAAAGCCCCATCCAAGCTGGCCCTGAACACTGCCAGGAATGAAGAATCCACAGGAATGTAAGGACAGTAGTAGACCAGTTTAATAGAGTTCTCTCCAACTGAACAACTTTGAAAGAACTGGTGGGGGATGAATTCACCCATGTTCTCTATTGCATTATAGCAATGTGGTGCTTCTCCATTATCTTGATACTTAGGTCTGCATTAATTCTTTCAACCCAGTTACATAAAAGGGCCATGTTTTGTTTCTCCATTAGCACTGTTTAATGTCTTGATGAGAGACTGATTTGCTCTCTCTTCTTGTTCGAGGCTGAAGGAAGGAAGTAGAATAGCCAGAGTTGAGTACAAAACTTATGTCTGAACTGAGACAGACACAAACAGACATTTGCTGGAGTTTGTAATCCCTGACAGCCCAGTGGCTTGTATTAATAATGCTACTGTTGATTTCCAGATATTATCACTACCTGTACACTCATTACCTGCCTGCCAGCCTAAAGAATATGGTGGACCAACTGGCCAATTGTGAGGACATTCTAATGAATTTTTTGGTGTCAGCTGTGACAAAATTGCCTCCAATCAAAGTAACACAGAAAAAACAGTATAAGGAGACCATGATGGGACAGGTATGTATCCACAGCATGTTCTAGCAGTTGGGAAGTATTGATAATGTAATGGCTTGACTTGTAGGTTAGGCTTAGAGAGTGATACAATTCTGTCAATTTTTTTGCAGTTTTTAGTTTAGTGGGACTGTAAATAGACTTTAGATAAGCTTATTATAATGAAAGAAAAGGAGAAACATCTACTATGGATGACCACTGTCCTTCACAGATTTCTCACCCCAAACTCATGGAACTGATGATTGTGGTGACAGAATTTCAGTTAAACTCTAGTTTTCTAATTAAATATTCTAGACCTAAGACCTAGTCATGGAATGCTGGAAGCAGAAATAAATTCTAGAAAGGATTTCTATTTTTTCATTATTATTATTAATTAACATAATGTACTAGGCCGTCCCTGTGCTATTGTAAAGCATACAGTGTGATTTAAGCACTGACATCAGATTGTCACAACAGAGGTAATTTGTGATGTTCAAGGTTTTTTTCTACAAGGAGCATTTTGTCCTGTGGTCACACCATCACTCACTAGCAGTCATGAAATGCTTGATTTAAATCTTCTTCCAGTTACTGGATAAGCACTCTGTCATTGCAGAAATGCATATACCTTCTAGTAACAGGGATACAGGGTAACCTGGGAGCACTTTTCCTCCTGCCCTGTGTGGGAAAGGGATAGTAGGGAACAGCAAGTCCTGCAAGACCCGCAAGTCCTAAACAGCTTACCATCTGTGTTGTCATGGTGTTTGTGATCCTCACTACAAACAGTACCATGATAACTAGATGGGGCAGAAGAAAGAAGGGGCTCTCTATTTCCCCCTCACATTTTCTCCTATTAGCATTAGTTGGATCTTTGACTGGGGAATGGCCATGCCAGTTTGTAGGCTCCCTATCTGTATGCCATTGTGCTTCCATGTGAGGTATAGGTAGCATTCAGCAATTCTGACTCATCTGGGTACCCAGGAGTCCTTCTGTGTACAAGAAGATGCCATCTAGAAAGTATCTATTGCTTCCAGTTTGAGCTTCACCTCTCCACAGGGCCGTGCGCTGGCTGTTTGGCAAAGTCTGAACATCTATTTTTCTTCTTATAGCACGGGTGACATGAGTCAGCCATGAACTATAACTCTCTCCTAGAGACAAGTTGTTCCTGCAGCTTTGGGAAATGTAATGGACCATGTTCATAATTCCTTGAAAGACAAATAAAAAATTAACATAACCTCGGTGTTGTGACAGAGATTAATAGTGGTATGGAAATTCACTGTTAATGGCAGAATGTCTGCTATAATCCTCTAGCAGCAAGCTTTTGCTTGCTCTTTCGTGGCTCGGTATAATAAGAGTCTGTAATCAATGCACATTATAACCTACCACTTGAGCTAAACTGGACAGGCCTTGGACAAAGATCAAGTTTGATACAGCATTCATTTGGCAAGTCCCTGACTTTATCAGTTTCTTCATGTTCTAATTAGCATACTTTGAGTTTATGAATTTGTATTTGTTTTTAAAGTAAAGTGTAGTGGAAACCTGAGTGCTAAAGAAAGATACATGAGAAGTGGCACAAAAACAAAACCCCTTGGGTTCTTAGCATTCATACTTTATTTTAAATAATAGTTTTATTATGTTTATAAACATATTTTAGGTACAGATGAAGAATAGTAACTGCTTCAGATCTTTTAAGGCTTTATTTTTCCAGAGGTGCTGAGTTTCAATGGGCTTTCAAGGGAATTACAGCTGCCCTGAGCTTTGGAAAATCAGGCCACAGTGTTTTTTGCATGTATGCATGCAAAGACCATGGTCTTTTCCTTGGGTCAGAGTTTAACATGATGTAATTTGGAACTCCAGTTAATTTTCTCTGTCCTGAAGACAATACGGTCTTACACACTGGCCTTGGCCAGTGGGATTCCTGGAAGCACCCTACTTTTCCCTACAGGACATCTACACACATGAGTAATGCCCAACACATAAGGACTTCTGCTGAGCTCAGTTAGAAGCTGGTTTAAATTATTTGTGAATAAATTTCTTCAGGTCTGGACTGCAAAAGTGTAGTTTTAGCCTGAGAAACCATTGTAAAGTGTTTTCAACCTTCACCTGAAAGCTATGGGCAGCAGCTGGCCTGTGTTTGGCTGTGCTCTTCCAGTGGAAAGCTGTGGCCACCTCGACTTTGCTGGTGGCTTTTAAGGACTTCTTCTACCTCTGAAATAGCTGGAGGTTTGGGGAAAAAGAAAAGGACGAGGGTTGGGGTGAGGTAGTGAGCAGGAGGGCTTTGGGAGGGCTGCTTGGGGGTGTCACGCTCCGTGTCAGGCTGGCTCTTGGCTGAACTCAGGTGCGCTGCCTTCAGTGCTGCTTTGGAAGTCAGGGCTGGCCAGCTCGCCATTGCCAGCTCCCGCTGTGGGCAGCGTGTCCTTCGCCTTGTTTGGCCCCTGCCACTGAGCAGATTCCACAGATCACAGAATCATTAGTGTTGGAAGGGGCCTCTGGAGATCATCCAGTCCAACCCCCCTGCCACGGCTGGGCCACCTACAGCAGGTTACACAGGAACGTGTCCAGGAGGGTTCTGAATGTCTGCAAAGAGGGAGACTCCGCAACCCCCCTGGGCAGCCTGTTCATGCTCTGCCACCTTCAGTGTGTAAAAGTTCTTCCTCATGTTGAGGTGAAACACATGAACACGTGTTCTCGTGTTTTAGTTTATGGCCAGTGCTCCTCATCCTGTCACTGGGCACCACTGAAAAGAGTCTGACTCCATCCTTCTGGCACCCACTGTTGAGATACATATATAGATGTATTAATGAGATGCCCTCTCAGTCTTCTCTAGACTAACAGGCCCAGCACCCACAATCACTCCTTATAAGAGAGATGCTCCAGACCCCTGGTCATTCTTGTGGCCACTGCTGGACCCTCTCCAATAGTTCCCTGTCTTTCTTGCACTGAGGAGCCCAGAACTGGACACAGCACTCCAGATGTGGCCTCACCAGGGGCGAGTACAGGGGCAGGATCACCTCCTGGACCTGCTGTCCACA